TAAGCTCGCTCTTCAACTTCAAGGAGCTCCCGCTCCACTCTTACCTCTATTGCTGCCAAATCCACGAGCTCCCACCCACCTTCATTTCCTTCCTTATTAAACGTGGTCTTGTCCACCACCGAGTCGGCCTTTCACCTATACGCTCAACTCTTATTTTCCCATTTCCCTTCACTGTACCAGACTAGCAAAATCTCAGATCATCAAATTCATCTCTCTTCTGTTCCTATGACTACAAATGACTCACTGTAACAGATCGATGCCAAGAAGTAAAACACCCTCCAGCTTCAACTGGGGCACCAGAGTAACACGTTGATTCGTTGCTTCACAAATAATTCAAACTTCCAAGACTTGAACTCTTCAAATTCCCTAACGCTACCATCATTTTTCTTTCCTTTAAATGAACATTTGTTCCTGCACTTCAGAGAAAGTCGACGTCTGAACAAAAGCACTGAGTTCTTTGCCCATCTACCCAGCTAACTCACCCGTCGTCTTTACTCCCTCCCTCTAGGCTAGAGTGAGCTGGTTTCACTCCTGTTCAGCAGAAACACTCTACACCCACTCCTGCTTCACTTAGCCTGCAGAAATTAAATCCCAAATCAATACAGCCATGCACCCACCGCACTAACCAGAACTGCACTTCTTATTCTGAGCTTCCTGACTTTGAAATGCTGGTATCCTTGGGACATTTTCATGATTTTGTGACTGTAACAGGCTGAGAGGTGCTTGGCATACATGAAGTTAAGTAAAGTTCCCGGGAAAAAGTTGCACCTACATTCAACAGTCTAAAAAGCTCACCGACTGACTAGAAAACTAATGACTATGGAAAGTTGGAAAGTTGATGGTCCAGAGCTGAATTATCGTGGGCTATCTTACCCCTCAAAACAGCCACTTATTGCCCACCTCTGTGTGCCATTAGGTAAATACTTTTAGAAAAAACACTTAGCTTCCACCAGCCCAAAGGCTTAGAGTATCATCAGGGCATCTGAGGCTTGTAACAGAGACCTCCTCACTTCATTATAACCTGCCGAGGGATATTTCCACTGAGATATTTTTAAAGTGTCTTGATTTATGACTCCTTTTATTTCTATAAAAATTTAATGAAACTATTATCACATTGGAACATGGAATTTGGGGTAACTGTACATTCTCGGGCCAAGGTCATTCTTAACTGACTCCAGAGTAAACTACACTCCCCTTAAATGAGAGCTGTGTTGTTGTTTTATTCTATTGACACAAATTATTAGATATGTATGGTAGTGATTACTTCTTAATAGCTTAAGCTTTTTTTTTTCTCCAAGAATTAGGGACAAGGAGAGGAAAGACGCCCAGTACAGAGCCAAGGAGAAAATGCTATTCCAAACCTCTGTACATGCAAACAGCAGCTCTGTGAGTTGGCCTGATTAAACGCATCAGACTCCCCTGCTATCTGAAGCAATGTCTAGAATCCGGAACTAACAGGATTCAAGGGAAGACTTCATCTGAGTTGAAAGCAGCAGAGAAAAACGAGCAACTCTTCCTTCTATTCGTTCAGAACAAGTATTTAAGATGAATTCCAGCAATGCAGAGCCACTGGTCGTGGCAAACAAAAGAATCCGATTGGGGGAGCTCCAGAACTGGCGTAGAAGCACCTTGGGGTGAGTGCCTGGGATAGGGATGGACAGGTATCAAGAGACGGGGACTGATTGGAAGGGGCCCCCACTAGCCAATTAGGGACATCAACAGAAATGACGGCAATGGATCCGACCAAGCAGAGAGAGCACTGAAGATCCTCATGTCTACACCAATGACTAAAAAATACATAAAGGGGGAGAAATAGTTCCTACACTACAACGCCAGTTACTGGGAAAGAACTGGATAATGACAAAGGCAATCTTTGCCCTTCCAGAAAGCAGGGGTCGTTTTAACAATGCTAAAAACACTGAGTAAAAGGTGAACCGTGCCATGGTGTCAGCATGGCCTTGGCTGTTACTTCACAGACGGTTTAGTAACCATAAGGGGGAAATGCGTCTCTAAAACAGAGAGTTCTGGCAATCGCTCTCTTGATCAAGGGATCAAACAGCAGCAGAGACTGGAGTCGGAGCTTGGTGGTAGAGTGTTTGCCTACAACATGTGCATGAGACCTTGTTTCTAACCCCAGTGTCACAAAAACAAACCGCTCCCCCAAATGAGCATCAGCAACAGTGACAGTTGTGTGTTACACCGAGAGGCACACGGCACGGAGCATTCAAAGACATTTGCCCCAAACTAAAGAAACCAAAACCAACAGCCTACAGTCTTACTACCAAAGGCCAATCTTAGGTCTCATTCCCAAGAGCTCATTTAGAATTTGTATTTTAAGATCTTCTGATGAGTCACAGGTACAAAATTTGAGGAACCCTGCATGAAATTAATCATCTAGACTATAGGTTACCCAGTCGTAAGTGGTCACATAGATGAGCAACACGGAATAGACTCAGTAGGTTTATTTATACATACAAATGTACAGATATGTAACAATAATCATTTAAAAAATACACTTTTATGTGTATGAGTGTCTTGTCTACGTGTGTGTATGTTCTCTGTGTACCAGGTACTGGTAGAGGCCAGAAGAGGGCACCAGGAACACAAGTTATGGGCCGCTGGAAGCCACCATATGGGTACAGGGAACTGAACTGAGATCCCACAACAACAATAACTAAAGATGATGAGGTCATAAAGTTGAGGGGGGCACTGGAGGAATTGAAGGGGGAGAAAATGGGAATCACTGGAGAGACGGCTCAGAAGGTGAAAGCACTTATTCTTGCAGAGGATCCAGGTTCTGTTTCCAGCACCCGCATTGTAGAACATGTATTGGGGTTCGAGCTGAAGATCAGAAAAGCAAAGCAGCCAAGCCACTGGAGAGTTCTTACCTCTACCAAGGCTCAGACAAACAACATGACTGCAGACTGCAATGACCTCCACCAAACCACAGACTACACTGAGCTCCTGTCTCCTCCAGCCTTATATATCTCTCTACACCCAACCATATCACTCCTGTCTCCACCTCCCTAGTGCTGGGACTAAAGGTCCGTGACTCCCAAGTGCTGGGAGCACCACTGTATGAGTTCTATTTCCTTTTTAGACAGATTCAATCTCCCGTAGCCCAGCGTGGTCTCGAGTCCTGGGATTAAGGGTGTGTGCCAGCACTTCCTGGCCTCTAGTGGCTTAGCTCTGTACTCTGCTCTTCAGGCAAGCTTTATTTATTGAAACACGAATAAAATATCACTATACACATAGTGACTTACAACCACCTGTAACTCCAACTCCAGGGTTTTATGCCTTTTTCTGTCTTCCATGGACACCAGGCACACATATGGTGTGTGTGTGTGTGTGTGTGTGTATACACACACACATATAAGCAAAACAGTCACATGTATAAAATAAAATAAATAGGCCTAAAATATCTAATTATTCTGATAAGGGATAAAATATAAATACATATTTACATAAATATAAAATATAAAGTACATTTATATAGAGACAACAGACAAAAAACTTTTCGGAAACAGGATTTTACTATGCAGTGAAATACCTGGCTGTCCTGAAACTCCCTTATGCACCAGGCTGGCCTCAAACTCAGAGATCCATCTGCCTCTCCATCCTAAGTGCTGGAATTAAAGGCCTGTCACTGCACCCATTGAGGTGCTATTATGGTACCCAAAGTTTTACTTTATTACGAGATTAAGGTCTTTACACAAGAATACTTTTGAGCCAGATAGTAGTGGCACACCTTTAATCCCAGCACTCAGGAGGCAGAGGCAGGCAGATCTCTGTGAGTTCAAGACCAGCCTGATCTACAAAACAAGTTGCACGACAGCCAGAGCAACACAGTGAGACCCTATCTCTAAACAAAACAAAACAAAAAAAGAATTTGCTGAAATAGTTTCCTGGAAGCACTCAGAAGAAAAAAAAATAAGTACCCACCCATTTGAGCACTGAAATTATGATTAGATATTAAGACTGTTTCAATGAATTGTAATATACCCAATTATTCTACAAAACTCTAAATTATCCAGGTAGTGGTGGTGGCACATGCCTTTAATCCTAGCACTCGGGAGACAGAGGCTCTCTGAGTTTGAGGCCAGTCTGGCCTACAGAGCGAGTTCTGGAACAGCTAAGGCTACACAAAGAAGCCCTGTTCAAACAAACAAAACCCTCTAAATTAGTCTGTGAAGACTGGCAATTGTGACCACCAGCTAAATTCAGCCTATTACTTGTTTTCAATGAACAGATTTTTTTGGGTTTGCAGGGGCAGGATGGGTGTGTATGCATGTACAAGCGTGTGTGGGTGTGGGCATGCCCACGCAAACACATGGAGAGGTGGAAGGTGGACTTCCTTCATCACACTCCACTATATACCTTTCGTTTTGTTTTGCTTTTTTGAGACAGGGTTTCTCTCTTAAATATATGAGTGTTCTGTCTTTCTGGGCATCAGATCCCATTACAGATGGTTATGACACATCATGTGCGTGCTAGGAATTGAACTCGGGACCTGGGGATGGCGGGGGAGCAATCAGCGTTCTTCACGGGGGAGCAATCAGTGTTCTTCACCGTTGAGCCATCTCTCCAACCCTGCACTCTGTATCTGGAGACAGGACATCTCACCCAGAACTCACTGTTTCAGCTAGACCAACTGATGGGCAAGGCCTCAGAATCCACCTGTCTCCATGCCCTCCCCCGGCACAGGCCACCATGTCTAGCTTTACATGAAGGTTAGGTATCTACACTCAGGCCCTTGAGCTGACATAGCGGGCCCTTCACCCGCTGAACCATCTTCCTATTCCTGTAACGGAACAGTTACAATCATTCATTTATATGTTATCCATTGTTGTTTTAATTATAACAAAACCAAAACATTGCAGCAGAGACTGTATGGCTCACAAAGCCCACAATACTCGCCATTTGGCCTTTACAAGAGAAAAGTTGTTGCCCTCTGCTCTAGACAAGCAATCTAAGAATACAATAAAGCCTGTCAGACTCACCTGAGGTGTTGTCTTTTTATACTGGTCACCACCATCTATCACATCCCTCATGATTTTTCCCTTGAGAAATTCATATTCTTCTGGACTCAGATGAATGGACTCTAAGGCTCTCCCACAGCTTGAACAGTGGCCACTGCAATTGCAACGTTTTATATTAAATAATGTCTTAGAAAATAATTTTTTCTAAAATTAATAATTCCAAAGCACAAGGAAACAGAAATGAAAGACAAGAAAATTAAAACCTTTGTGATCATCACATTTGTTTGATTTTTTTTTCCTTTTCTGTAAACCTCAAAATATCTATCAGTATGCCAGAAAATCCAGAAAAGAAGATCACTTGGCACCTAGATGAAAAAAAAAATTTCTACAAACATATTTTAGGTATATGTATGCTTTACACTCTTAGAAGAATCATGGGGGCTTGGGCAGTCATGAGACACATCTGTAATTCTAGCACTTGAGAGGCAGAGGGCACCAGCAAGACATTAACACACACCATTATGGTGACAGAGAGAGACGGCAGAAAGAGCTAGGTGAAACTTTTAAAGTCATTTCTAAAATACAGCTGGGTCAGCCTTCTAGGGGCAAACATCACTAAGGTTTAACATAAGTTCACGGTATCAATGGGACAAACACTTTGAGTACTCCAAAATCTGTCTACATGCCTGTAATCCCAACACACGGAAGGTTATGGCAGCAGGATTATTTTATGCTTGAAGTCAGCCTGGGCTACAGATCAAGACTCTCTAAACAACAACAGAGATTTTTCTCCCCTCAGGATCTTTAATTATAAATTCTTAAGTATTCTACCCCTAAGATGTTCTTAAACATTTTTTTAATTATCAGAAGCTTCCCCGTCCCAAAGATTTACTTTTAATTATGTATTTGTGTGTGTGTGTGTGTGTGTGTGTGTGTGTATGTGCAAGTGAGCGCGGATGCAGGCAGAGGTCAGATGAGAGCAGAGGATCCCCTGGAATTAGAATTACAGGCAGTTGTGAGCCACCAGATGTGGGTGCTGGGAACGGAGCCAGATCCTACGGAAGAACAAGAGCAGCTCTTAACCACTGAGCCATCTCCAGACCTTCCTACTTTTTCTTTTTTTTCTGGTGTTTTGAGAAAGGATTTCTCCGTGTAACAGTCCTAGCTATCCTGGAACTTACTTTGTAGACCAGGCAGGCCTCGAAGTCACAGAGATCCACCTGCCTCTGCCTCCTATGTGCTGGGATTAAAGGCGTGCGCCACCACTGCCCAACTGAGAGCTTCCTATTTTTAAGCCAATACCATCAGAACTTACTACATCGGAATCAAACAAATTGAAGACAAATAAGGGTCTTTACCTTCTCTGGACTGTAGTGAATTGTCCTTCCCATTGTCTTCCAGGAATGCTACAAAAGATTACAAAACCAGATTATCAGAATGTTAAAAACTCCTACTGAGTCTAAAGACAATCGCTGTATTTAGACATTCTGTAGGAAGAGATCTGAAATGTTCGTTCGGAATACTTTCTTTGGATGGCTTTCACAACGACTGCTAGGGTGTGGTTGAGGTTAAGGACCAGACAACATTCTACTGTATCCTACAGTATCCTTTCGGTTCACCTCCTGACGTAACCCTCCTCTTCCTCCAGTCTTGTCTAAGGGTAGGCATGATGGTGCAGGCCTTTATTTCTAGCACTGGGGGTCAGAGGCAAGCAGACCTCTGTGAGTTCAAGACCAGCCTGGTCTACACAAAGAGTTCCAGAATAGCCAGGGCTACACAGAGACCGTGTTTCAAACTTAACAACAACAGCAAAATTCAAGCCTAAATCTACCTTCACTAGAAGTGTGCAAAAACTAGAGATACTATTTAAATACCACTCAGCTCTAACCATCTTCATAAAGCTGCTAGACATGGCGCCTGCTTGGCGTAATTTCTCTGTTCGCTTGTGCTGCTGCTGCCTGTAGACCACTGCCAGGAACGGCAATTCCTAATGAGGCCGAGAATGCCATCCTAATAGATACTATGCAGGAAATACACGGAGTTTTAGTGTAATTGGAGCCATTCAAAAATTATTTATTGATTTATTCTCAGTCACCATATCCTTACTTCCTATTGACTCTTGACCCTATTGCCTTCTTTCCTTCACCAAGTAATTCAGACCTCACAACCTCTTACCCAAATCTAACATTGCACTCAAACAAATGTCCCTATTTTCAATCTTAATTCCTCTCCCATCAGACCTTCTCCTTGTTCTTTTAAAACTCTATTTTAAAAATACTTGTTTTTTTAAAACTCTACTTCGAAACCAGCATTCTTGAAAACAGAATAAACCCTAAGCTCTCAGATTTTCTCACTCTCGCTCCTCTTCTTTGGATGCTCAATAAATTTGTTAAGATGATCATCAGACATGATTCCTACCTAAAAGTTCTGCAAACATGATATATAATACAAAGAGAAAAAAGAAGGAGCAAGCTTTTAGGAAACGGCCTGAAGTAAGTTAACGGTGAAGAAAGGAGAACAAAGACAGAAGCAATGAAGAGTTATGCGGTTGACGGCATGAGTCAAAGCAAAGGAGAGCTTGGAGGACAGCCAGACTAGGAAAGATGCAAAATCAAATGGGGGATGGTTTTCCACTGAGTCCCAGGACTGATCAGGAACTGCCCCGTCCACTCCAAGCATCCTAAGTGATGAGACCCAGGGATTAGAGAATAACTGTAAACACATTATTTATGTCACGACTTTTGAAAATATGATCATTGGGTAAAGCGTTTGTTACACAAGTTAGACCTGAGTTCGGATCCCTGGAACCCATGTACAAGCCTGGCATGGAGCCTGTAGTTGTAACCCCAGCAACACGGGAGTGGAGACAGGTAGATCTCAGACGAAATGTTAAGCTCTAGGTTCAGCTAGAGACTGTCTCAAAAGGAAGGTGGACTTTGATAAAAGATACCCAGAGTCAAACTCTGCTCTTCACACGCGAATATGCATCCACATACGCATGTGCACAACCCCCCACACTCACCTAAACCCGTACTAATTTCTTGCTATAACATAATTATTCATGTTACATGTCTCAGAAAATAAGATGAATCATAGTTTTAAAAGGAAGAAATCTATTATATAAAAACAAAAGATGCTGTATAATTTCCTCTTATGTGATGAGTAGGGATTAACACAAATTACTCCTACTACTTTTTGTGAGAGAATATTTTCCTTTAAAAGTAGAATAGTTCTTACCTCAAGATGGTAGAAAGCACAATCTGAATAAATGAGTCTTGGCAACTAATAAACAACACAAAAAGGGGTCCACTTTTAAAATACAGGTACCAAGAGACAACACATATGCAACATCAAAATTACCTTTCAAACCATGTTTTTATACTGTGTGCAAATGACTCTCCAGGATACAGCTGATTATTCCTTAGGTACAAAAGAATGTTCAGTAGTTTGTCCGAATAGTGATCATCATTTATGTCTTTGCCAAAATCAAAGAAGGCTTTTAGAGTTTCCAGCAGAGGAATGAGATTGTGACCTAACAATTCCTGATACAAACTCCAGGCCACGTCCACATCCTGATGAAGGAGGGCTCCCTGAATACAGTCATTGTAGTTCCTTTTTGAAGGGACCATGACTTTTTTAATGTCTTCTAACAGCAGCAGGGCCTCCCTCCACCTGTCCGAGTGGATCAATCCCCGGATGAGAATGGTGTTAGCCGTAGTTTCTAAACATTTGTACTTGGCTTTCATGATTTCATAGACGTCGATAACTTCTGATGTCTGCTTGTGAGAGACGCAGAGATACAAATACTTGACGAGTAAATTATACCCTACGATGCCATTGTTCCTTGCTGCGACCCATGCCAGGAGGGACTTAGCTACATCTACAGAGCTACTGCTGCCCACCATCTGCGAAATGACCCAGTCTTCAAAACTGGCCTTCCCGTTGAACTCCTCTTTAAGTTTATCCCACTCTTCGGAACTCAGGGGTTTAGTGGGAAGTTTGATTGTGCTCCTCACATGTGACGGGGCATGCGCTCTCTGCTGGGGATTGCTCGTTAAGTGTGACCTCTTCTTAGCTGCCCCGGCAGCAAAATAATGATCAGAAGAACCTTGCCTATTGCTATCATTTCCTTTCTTGAGTGTTCTAGCCTTGGCAAGCAGCAAATTCATTGCTTTGCTATTTGGAGGGGGCATGGTCTTGACAGAAAACCATCGGTGCTGGTTCCTGGTAACCGTGAGAAAGAAAAAGACAGGAGAGGTCGCAAGGCCCAGCTCAAAGGAAGGGGTGCTCGTCCAAAGTTTCGAAAAGCTCCGAAAACCAGGCAAATAGAAGGTCATTCTGCAGTGAGTTGAGTGAGGCTTAAAAATAAAGCAGCTCCGCTCTGCTATGGAAAACTACGAGATTGGAGGTTGAAGATAGTTGATGTACAATTCTTGAAAGGGAGACCTTGTGTTTCTCCCTTACCCCCCCCCCCCCAAAAAAAATCACGATTGTACTTTAGGAGTGATTTAAAGGCAAGGAAAGCATACGAGTTATCTCCATTAAACAATGATCCAGGGATCTTCAACACCAGTAGCAAGTCCTAATCCAGAAGACCGCACGGGAATCCTATTACATTTCAATTTTTCGAATCTGAGGAAAAATCACAAGAGGGACCTCTTAGTTTGACTCAGGTGCATCACAACGGTCCTGAAGAAGGGCAAGACACCAGGAAAACTATAACAGGGAAATAAAAGTAATAACCTCGACCAGGAACCACCAACCGCAGTCCCACCAGCAAGAAAAAGTCTAGGGTCCCTTGCTCTTTACATTTTTTACAGGCCTTAAAACGACTCAAAGAAGAGGGATCGGGGGACGCAGCACAAACATTACAGGGAAGGAAGTGAGATCCAGAAAGAACTTAGACTTAACTGTATGGAGGGCCGACGAAAAGAAGTTCCCTTCATTCAACAACTCACCACGCCACGCATGCTTAACGTAACCATAAATGCGACAAAAACTACAGTGCCCACAAGGCACCGCACTGAATGAGCCGCCAGGACCTCAGTGGCTCGATTTCAGGCGTTCTATTGAGTCTGACGAAAAAAAAGAAAAGCAAGGTAATTTTGAAGCTTTTAATATCCAAGAGGGCTGGAGATGACTGCGGAAGCTTCTATTACATATTTGGAGACTGTCAAGGCTTCCAGAGCGAGAACGAAATGTGACGAAAGTGCTTTTCCCAAGTCGGAAAACCCAATGGATTCCTGCATCCTGCGGTGCGCACGCGCCAAAGGCCCGCTTTCAAGAACTCACGCAGGCTTCTTATTGGCCTTTAAGATCGGGTTTGGTGAGCAGGGATATTCACATAAGAATAATTTTTCATCTATTTCACGTCTACTTTTCGCCCCTGCTAGCGTGATCGCCGGGTCCGGAACAGATATAGCATTCAAGCTTTTGCCTCTGGAGCCACGGCTTCCGCCCGTGTCCAAGATGGCGTCCCAGCGTCCTTCTTAACTTCCCCCTGCCTTGGTGGCGTCTGACGTCGGAGCTGGTAGTGGGTGGAGCGGTTAACAACCCGCAAATGTAGGGTCCTCTGAGCGGGAATCAGCCATGGACTGGAAAGACGTGCTCCGCCGGCGCTTAGCGTCGCCCAACACGGATCCAAAGCGTGAGTTCGGGAGGGACAGCCCGCCAGATAGCCCGCCCCAGGCCAAGAGGTGGCGGGTGGCGGAGGGGGGTGAATAGGGCGGGGAGGAGGAAGGGCGAGTGACACTTTCCGCGTCTGGTAAACTTATCTGACAAAAGAGAGTGCGTGGAGTGTGCATTCAGTGGTCCGCGGAGGGGTGACCCAAACTTTCCTGGTAAATCGAAAAGCGCAACCGTGGTACCCGTTTTCCACAATCTTAGGCGTATGCGGAATAACTGAGAACCTTGGTGCCCTTCGATCTTACCAAGACCTATTCATTCTTATAGCTTCCCCCCCTAGAGACAGGATGTTATGTAGTCCTGGTCAGTATTGACTTACTGGCCCTCCTTGCCCCAGTTTCCCGAGTGCCTGCGCCTTTTAACTCTCACTTTTCACATACCCCTCCATTTTAAATTTCATTAATCCGTTTTCCATTGTTCGTTCCCCGGCCCTCCACACTTTGCTTGCCCTTCAATCTGGTTAAATCCTTCCAATTCCACACCAACACCCAGGCAGCCGAAATGGGCTAAAGAACAGGACCTAGAGAGATGGCTCGGCCATCAAAGGCTAGACTGACAACCAAAAAGAAAAACAGAACCATGGTGAGTTCTCACTTAGAATCCATGTCCGCTAAACTAAAGTATATTTTAGTCGCATCTGCAGGAAGAGCATTTGGTCTTCCACACTTAATTCCTCTCATCCTCCCAAATCTCCAGTCTGCCCTCCCCATTGCTCACTGTAGTTGGTGCACTTGTTTTCAAATATGTATCTCGAAAAGGACTTAGAAGCAGTTAAAGGAGAACCTCAACTCCTTCCAGTTACCATTTCTCTAAGATGTTAGGTATTTATCCTTACATCCAACCTTCACCTTTAAATTTGATTGTTACCTTGAAATGAATTGTCACAAGGCAGTGGTGGCACAGGCCTTTAATCCAAGCTCTCGGGAGGTAGAGGCAGGTGGATCTCTGAGTTCTAGGACAGCCAGGGAGGGCTACACAGAAACCGTGTCTTTAGAAGAGAATTATCTGTACCCCTCCTGGAGTCCCTTCAGTCCCTCCTTAGGTTCCATCCCTTCTCATTGATCCTCCGGCTTCTCTTCAGTCTGATCCTCTCATACATTATCGGCTTTTCCTTTCCTCCTCCATCATTTCCCTTATCACTCACAAACATGTAATAGCCTGCGTGCATGTATGTATACCATGTTTGTGCAGTGTCGCTGAATGAAATTGAGGACTTGACTTGTAGGTATGATTGAGGAGATGGTCTTATTGTAGATATGAGGGAGAGTTCAGCCAGAGGCATCTGGAAGGCTCCAGACTGAGTATAGCCAGCAGAATAGACTGGACCATGAGAGGGGAGAGAGGGAAAGAAGAGAGTTGGGGGCAGGCGGACCAAGAGTGCACATGAGAGCCAAGAGCAGAGCCATGGGAGCATCGTGGCCAAAATGGATGAGTTCTATAGGATCGGAAGCCCAGCCCCTTGGCTGGAGACTTTCAGGGTAGGGGCAAGGTGAGAAGTCCCTTAAGGAGCCACAGGTACTGGGTAATACTGAGAGCTGTCCTGAATCAGCTTTGAAATGATAATAGGCACCTCAGCTGTTCATCCCTAAGCTTCTTTGAGACCAAACCCTGCAAAGGCCAGAAGAGGGTGTTGGATCCTCTGGAACAGGAGTTGCACTTAATTGTGAGCTGCCATATGGGTGCTGGGAAACAAACCCAAGCCCTCTACAAGAGCAGCAAACCGACTGAGTTTTACTGCTTTTAATCCTACTGAGTCGTCCCTCCAGCTCCCCGCCAATGCTTGCCACACTTCTCTTCACCTTTACTAGGGATGCTGCCACTGCGCCATGGGTGTATTGCAAATTATCTGGATTGTGTGGTAGTATTAATAGCTCCTCCTCAAGACTGTTGCCGTCAGTGTAGTACATCCCATCCGTGCAGCAAATCTCCTTTGCCTACGCAAGGATGTGTTCTTAGGATAGCCCGCCACCTGTGTCATCAGGCTTTCTTAATCGTTTAAAATAAACATGCTGGTATTTTTCCCGATTGAGAAACTTTCTCGGGCCAGGTACATGCATGTAGACGCCATCTCTCCAGAGGCAGAAGCAGGAAAACGAACGTAAGTTCAGTGCTATGCTAGTCTATAAAGCTCAGTGCTAGGCTAATCTACAAATAGTTCCAAGTCAGCCAGGAATACCAATCATACCTGTATCAAAAGAAAAGAATAGTAAAGGAAAAAACAAAAACAACTTTCCTGTATGAATTGCCTGCTTCTGGCTATACCTTAATTTTGTTTCCCTTATGGCAACACTTTAAAACTTCATGGCTAAAGCTGCTCTTGTCTATTATTTCTGCTTGTGAAGAATCATTAGTGACCTCTTGATTAGTGACCTTTATTTGCAAGGTTTTGCAATTTTCTCCATAGTACCAAGCCATACTAAAGAAACCATAGGCTTGGTTCAAGGTTAAAGGTTAACATGACAAGTACGAAAACTGCCCTGAGAAGTGAAGTGCTGAAGAATCAGTCCCTAGCCTCATCTCTGGAAGAAAATGAAATACAAAAACGGTTTTGGGAAACTCAATGGCAGAATTGAAGAACCCGGTGAGGCTGGAGTGCAGATATGGCCCCGAGGCTCTGAGTGATCAAAGGAGATCTGGAAGTGTGTTAGAGCTTATGCTTTTGGGAGAGAGCTGGCAGAGACGTGTGATCTAGCCATGGTCACTCTCGTCTGTAATCCCAGCTCTTGAGAGGCTGAGACAGGGTTTATCACAAGCTTGAGGCCCGCCTGAGGCACAGAGTGAGACCCTGTTTAAAAAAAAAAAAGCTTGGGAATCTGGAGGAGGAGCTCTCAGGGTAGAGTGCTTGCAAGTGTGCACACTTCCCCGGGATTAGAACCTCAGTAAATACTGTCTCCACCGATGTTTACCCTAGATGAGGAAAAATGGCTCTATGAGAAAGTTGCCTGTCAACAGCAGACAGGTTGAAGGACAATAGAGCACTGAGTTTTGAGCCTCAGACAGTTTTGTTCTTTTTTTTTTTTTTTTTTTTTTCTGAAAGAGGAGCCATGGTCATGAGGCCGAAATTGTACGAGGTCTGGGGCTGTGCCTGTCTTGCTTCCTCTAGCCACACTGTCCAGTACAGGACCTGTACAGCGGGTGCTTGGGTGTTTCGGTTCCTGTTTCTGGCACAGAGTTGAAGCAGAGCTCTGTATCTGCTTCCTAAGCACTCCACCGCTGAGCTGCCATCCTTGCCCTAGCGAACGCTTTTGGTAGGATGAACGGAAACACCTCAGGGTTTTTAAATGAGACAGTGACTTGAAGAGACGAGCTTCAGTGCTAAATCCAAGTACAGAGAACACACTGATTCTCAACGCACTGGACAGTTCAGTGACTGAAGGGAGGCTAGGTCAGTGGAAGGCTGTATTTCAAGTTAGTACATTCAGTGTCTAAGCACAGTTTTGAAGGCCTATTTGCCACTGTAGATATTTTAACTAGACTTTAATGTATAGGCTTTCCTGAGAAAAATAATATTTGTTGTTTGTGCTTTTCTTGCCTTAATTTTTCTTTCCTGTGTTGTTACTAGGGAAAAAAAGTGAACAAGAATTAAAAGATGAAGAAATGGATTTATTTACCAAATATTATTCCGAATGGAAAGGAGGTAGCAAAAACACAAATGAATTCTATAAGACCATTCCCCGGTTTTATTACAGGGTAAGTGATGTCTAAGTGGTGTTTCTGCATCTGTAAATGAAATGTAATTTCAAAAGTACAATCCAAAGCATATATTTTTGTAATAGGGGATTACATTGAACGTTTTTATATTTTATTACCCTCGATTTATCACTATGATAAAACACTTTGAATCCACTAAGATCTTGGACCAATAAGTTGGTACAAGAAGACAAAGTTATCCCCTTTTGGGGCTGGAGAGATGGCTCAGTGGTTAAGAGCATTGCCTGTTCTTCCAAAGGCCCTGAGTTCAATTCCCAGCAACCATATGGTGGCTCACAACCATCTGTAATGAGATCTGGTGCCCTCTTCTGGCCTTCAGGCATACACACAGACAGAATATTGTATACATAATAAATAAATAATTAAAAAAAAAAGTTATCCCCTTTTCTGAGCTATAGACTCCTTTAATTTTTATTATAGAGATTAATAGTGAGTATGCTATTTGGTGATGTAGTCTCAGCAGGCATGCTGACTTTACCCAGACTGTCAAGCTAGTTCTACTTAATTTGATATTGACGTAAGGTGACTTTTGGAATGTGCTTTTAGTTGCCAGCAGAAGACGAAGTGTTACTACAGAAGTTAAGAGAGGAATCTAGAGCCGTATTTCTACAGAGGAAAAGCAGAGAACTCCTAGATAATGAAGAATTACAGGTACGAGTGGACTCAAGTGGCTTTAGATGTTGCCCGTTTCTTTCGTGCAGAAGTTTGCTGTGTCTCTTGAATTATCGCTCCAGAGGAGTTTTCTGAAGGCAGGTGTGTATGTGTGCATCAGAATCAGCTGCTGAGCTTGCTCGGCCTGGTTTCCAAGGATAATGCTCTTCTGGTTTTGTTGCTCTTCTTTCTTTCTTCCTTTCTTTCTTTCTTTCTTTCTTCTTCTTCTTCTTCTTCTTTTTTTTTTTTTTTTTTTTTGGTTTTTTGAGACAGGGTATCTCTGTAGCTTTGGAACCTGTCCTGGAACTAGCTCTTGCAGACCAGGCTGGGCTCAAACTCACAGAGATCCGCCTGCCTCTGCCTCCTGAGTACTGGGATTAAAAATATGTGCCACTACCACCCAGCGAGGTTTTGTTTCTTAAATTCCCACATAATCCTAAGCAGTTGTCAAGGTTTGGGAAACACTACAGTACCGTCCTCTGCAGAAGTTCAAATATCCTAGCCCCTGCCATGGTGTGACTTTGAGCAATGGACTTGATACCTTTGTGCTTCAATTTTCATGTGTAAAGTAGAGATAGCTGCCCATATTAGATAGTTGCATGCATTAAAGAAGCAATATACTTTGACAGCTTAAAAATTTAGTGGGCACAATAAGTGTCAGTTATATTTATTACTAGTAGTCAAAATAATGGGGCATAAATTCACCTTAACTTTTTAGACAGAAATAATGCATTTACATTCTTAAATCTATTGTTAACTTATAACATCTTCATTTCCCTAATTCTCTTCAGAATTTATGGTTTTTGCTGGATAAGCACCAGATACCACCTATGATTGGAGAGGAAGCAATGATCAATTATGAAAATTTTTTGAAGGTTGGTGAAAAGGCTGGACCAAAGTGCAAGTAAGAATAATGTGATTTAAAGAGGAAAGTGTGTTCAGCATTTCTATTGCCCTAATGTCAATGGAGCTGAAGTCAGTGGTGTGACATTTGACTCACTACGTGAAGTGGCTGAAGTGTAATAAAATTATTTAGGGTCAAGAAAAAGTTGGAGGCTGGAGAGATGGCTTCGCCTGTCAGATTCCCAGCAGTTATGTAAAAGCGGGGCGCAGTAGCACATGTGTGCAGCTTCCAGTGTTGATAGGACAAAGGCTGGCAGGTCCGGGAAGTTCACTGGCCAGCCTGCTGGTCAGATCAGTGAGAGAATCTGTCTCACAAACAGGGTGGAGAGCGTTGAGGAAGACAGCTGCCGTCAACCTCTTGCTTCTTCATGTACCCACATGGCACATATGCACACAGCCACACCGTCATATACTATGCCGTGCATATAAAGTGTTGGTGTGGAGTGATTAAGAGAAATAATACAAAGCTCAGTGTGGTGATGCCTGTTGTAAGCCCAGCACAATAGAGACTGATGCAGGAAGATAATCGCAGATTCAGGGCCAGCCTGGGCTCCATAGTGAGTTCCTGTCTCAGATGAAAGAGAGAAATAGGACACATTGGGCATGGTAGTACACACCTTAATCTCAGTACTCGGGAAACGAAATAATTCAACTTAATGAAGTATAATAAAATTTATAGCAAGAAAAAAACTGCCACTGAGTGTGGTGGCACACACCTTAATCCCAGACTCAGTGGGCAAAATCAGGTGCATCTCCGTGACTTTGAAGCCACCCTACTCTATATAGTGAATTCCAGGCTACCCAGAGCTAAAGATCCTGTCACAAAAGAGGGAGCTAGAGGGAGAGAGGGATGGCAGGGTGCTGGGGGGGGGCGGCAAATACATGTACATGTCATTCAGCACTCTAAAAACTGAGGCAGGAGGATTGTAAGTTCAAAGTTAGTTTGTGCTGTGCTGCATAGCAAAAAAGAAATGAGAATAAACAAAATAATGATGTTTAATGATTCTATGTCTTCATTACTTTTTTAATTAATTTATTTATTTACATGTATTGATGTTTTACCTGCATGTATGTCTGTGTTGAGGGTGTTAGGTCCACTGGAACTGGAGTTAGAGACAGTTGTGAGCGGCCATGTGGGTGCTGGGAATTGAACCCAGGTCCTCTGGAAAAGCAGTCAGTGCTCTAACCTCTGAGCCATCTCTCCAGCCCATCTTCATTCCTTTTTAACATACCAAAATGTACTTTTTCCTGCTTATAGTCTTTTAAATAAAAATATAATATAAATATAAAACAGATTCACTTACTATAAAGTCAGTTTTAAGGGCACACAAAAGGTAAACCAAGTGATAAATTAAATTCAGCCATCCAGAGCTGTTATAGGTAGAAGACAGAGTATGTGTCTGCACCAGATAGCTGGCCCTGAGGTGGTAACTTCACAGCCAGATTGGAGATGCATACCCAAGAGCAGGAACTGTATAGTGTATTTGTGGTTATTGGTTATAAGACCATGATATTCCTTTTGGACAAACTCTTTAATATAGTGTTTAAACTATTAATGCTTTTCAGCATTTTGAAATATAAACTATTAACTCAGTTAAGATTATGGATAACCTTTTAAATACCACATACGTCATGACCAGTGTATTAAATCATTTACACTGTATCTAATGTCCTAGGAGAATTTACTACAAGATGCTTCGAGCAGACACCAGTGGGGCGTGCTCAGTGATTGGTCCCATGCGTAGAATTCCATTCATGATTTAGTGTCTGTTCCTTTGTCTTACTAGACTAGAAATGTTGCCTTTACGTAACATGGTGGTGCAACCACCCCAGGAGTACGATGGTTCTTCTGTTAGCTGTTACAGGCATCAATGTGACCACTATGTAAACAAAGTCAGAGCCAGTTCTCATCCGAAGTGCTGGTGGTATGTGTAGGTGCCTTTAAAGATAGATCCCCAAGCTACTAAAGAGCAGCAGAGATGAAAGAAAAACCAAAAAAGATTCAACTGAGAATACTCTTTTATGGTTGGTTTGGCTTGGTTTGGTTTGATTTGATTTGAATCAGGATCTTGCTCTATCCTAGGCTGACCTGAAACTCATTTTGTAGCCCAGGCTGTCCTCAAACTTGTGGCAATTCTCATGTGTCAGTCTCTCGAGTGCTGGAAGTATAGCATTCACAGTCAGCTGTCCATTTTCTTCTAAGCACGTTTCTTATGCTGAGAGTATCTGTGCACTTCGTACTTAAAGGGAACTCTTTTTGTTTTGTTTTTCTTTTCTTTTTTCTTATTCAATCAGAGTTTTTCTGTGTATCTTTGGATATCCTGGAACTAGCTCTGTAGACCAGACAGGCTCGAAATCACAGAGATCCCTCTGCCTCTGTCTCCTGAGTGCTGGGATTAAAGACGTGCACCACAACCGCCTGGCCATTAAAATGAACTCTTTGGCTGGGCATAGTAGCACGTGTCTTTCATCCCAGTACTTGGAAGGCAAAGGTGAGCAAATCTCTGAGTTCAAGGCCAGCTAGGGATTCACAGTGAGATTCTGTTTCAAAAACAACAACAACAACAAAGGAATTCTGGGGGAGGGGGTGTTTTCTCACTCATCTGACCAATCTCATATCCAACTGGAGTTTATTGTCTCTTAACTTTGATTTTTAATTGTATGAATTTATGTTGTTTGCTAATTCTTATAGATGTCATTTTTGTACTATGCTGGTAGGCCATTTTAATTTTATTTCCTTTTTTAGACAATTTTTTACTGCGAAAGTCTTTGCCAAGCTCCTCCATACAGATTCATATGGGAGAATTTCCATAATGCAGTTCTTTAACTACGTCATGCGAAAAGGTGATTCGTTGTGTGTGTGAGTTTGAACTTCTGTCTGGGAATCAAGTAGGTGTTGGTCTGTGCTTTTCTGTTGCTTCTCCCATGGGACATGCTTTTTTCCTGTGCTGTTATGGTTCTGCTGTGCAACATACAGAGGTATGGTTTTCTGTATTAAAATTGAATTCATTATTTTAAACAAAAGCCTTGTGTACCCCAAGGATAGTGGCAAAGTAGAAATGCCAAAAGCAGATACACTTTTTTTCTCGGTCACATGTACCCTCCCCAGAAGGCCTTTCCCAGTCAGCTCTGTCCTGTTGCTCTAGTGTCCCCACCTTGCTGAAGTGGATATCTAATGGTGGTGTGAAGGAACAGATTTACACAAGGTGGAAAGGTGTGATCCTGAGGGCTTCACACAGTGTTGCACAAGTCTGTTTTGTGGTTGGCGATAAAATATTGAGACTCCTTAAGCTTAGAGGGCTAGTTCCTGATCTGCTGAGATCGCTGCCATTTAAGACAGTTGTTTGCGGGCTGCTCTTCCAAAGGACCTGGGTTCAATTCCCAGCACCCTCATAGCAGCTCACAGCTGTCTGTAATTACAGTTCCAGGAGACCCGACACCCATGGCAGAACACCTGTACACATGAAAATAAAAATATGAACAGAAAGAAAGAAAGAGAGGAAGGAAGAAAGAAGAAAGAGAGGAAGAAAGAAAGAAAGAAAGAAAGAAAGAAAGAAAGAAAGAAAGGGAGGAAGAGAAAGAGAGGAAGAGAAAGAGAGAAAGCTGTTTGCAAGCATCCTGAGAGGGACAGCTCCAGCAGAGAGCTGGTTCATCAGTTGGCGTGCGCTGTAAGACCAAGGGACTTCTCCCTCACAGCCTGCCTTAGTGACTTGTGTTTTTGCTTGAGAAGTAAAATCACTTTAATTCTTTTAAGAAACAGAACAAGAATTTTTTTTCAGAACAAATATTATAATAGATGATTTGAAATAATTTCAATTTACTAGTAATCACATTTCACTAATATATATGTCTGAAAGGATAATCTCAAACCCACAACTGTAGTCTTGGTTTCAAGAAGCCGGTATTAAAACATTTTGGAGTTGTTATGAATCTTCTAAGTACTATATGACCTGTGGAATCTTACTGTGTACCATTGTTAATTAATAGATCTGACTGCAGTAATTAACCTCAGGAGGATACAAGCTTCACTGAAGACAATGCTGTGCTAGCTCTCCCTGTTGAGTGGAACACCGGGTTTAATATGTGGAAAACAATATCCCCAAGGGCTGAGTTCTACTGTAGTAATCATGGCGGAATTGTTGAAATCTGCCGTTTCATGGCTTTTTTCTTTTGGTTTAAATGGCTTAGGGTGCTGGTTACTTAATGTCTGTGAGAATGGCCCTCTGGGGTTCTGGAGTTGGCCTGCACTTCAAATCTGGTGTCTTACTCTTATTTTCATATATGTGGTAAAGAACAGATCTCAGTATTTACATGTAACTTTCTTTTTTATTGTCAGTTTGGCTGCATCAGACAAGAATAGGACTCAGTTTGTATGATGTTGCTGGGCAAGGATACCTTCGGGAATCAGTAAGTATTGATCTAAATTTAATAAACGTGATAGACACTAAAATACTAACATTAGTCATCACTGAGTGAGTTGTGCTCGTAGCTAAATCTTACACTGTTTGATTTTGTCTTCGTAGCCTCGGCTCGCCTGATTTTACCTGCGTACACATGCTCATTTTGTGTATATTGACCACATAAATTCATCTGTAGGTGTTTTTCTTCTAGCCTTTTAAAAAAATCTTTTGAAGCTGGGTGGTGGTGGTGCACACCTTTAATCCTAGCACTGGGGTATGTGGAGGGGGGCAGAGGCAGGCGGATGGATCTCCGTGAGTTCAAGGCCAGCCTGGTCTATAAGATCTACTTCTAGGACAGCCAGGGCTGTTACACAGAGAAACTCTCTCAAAAAACCAAAAACCAGACCAAAACAACAACAACAAAAAAAACCTTTTGTTCTTTTTAAAAAGAAAACGCAACTGAGCATCATAGCACGCTTCTAGTTCAAGCACTGTGGAGGCTGAGGCAGGAGGATTGTTGGGAGTTCAGGGGTAGCTGAAGCTCCAAAACATTATCAATAAATAAATAGAACATAACCTAACAGTTTTAAAAATGATCGATGGGAGTGGAGTGTGGTGCCACAAACCTGTACTCCTAGCTTAGGAGGCCAAGATACAAGAATCACTGCCAAGCTGGGTAGGACTATGTAGTGAGACCTTGTCTCTGAAATCCAAAAGAAAGAAAGAATGAGAGAGAGAGAGAGAGAGAGAGAGAGAGAGAGAGAGAGAGAGAGAGAGAGAGAGAGAAAGAGAACAATTACTGAAGAAAAAAGATTTGGATTTTTGATTTCCCACCTTCTCAGTGTGTGTGAGCTGTGCATGTTGGCATATGTTTATATGGACATGGAGGCCTGAGATCATGTTTGGTATATGTGTAGGCAGTCCTGCCTTCTCAGTGTGTGCGAGCTATGCATGTTGGCATGTGTGCAGGCAGATATGGAGGCCCGAGGGTGATGACAGGGGTCGTCTTCAGTCACTCTTCTTACTCAGTGAGGTCGGCTCAAATCCAGAGCTGACCACATAGCAAACCAGGTAGCTTGCTCTGGAGACTCGTAGTCAGTCTCCCAAGGCTGGTGCTGCAGGTGGGCCACCATGCCCACTAGCGCTCATAGGTCTGAGGATCTGAGCTAAGCAGTGCCCCGACCACTGAGAGATGGGGCAGTGCCCCGACCACTGAGAGATGGGGCAGTGCCCCGACCACTGAGAGATGGGGCAGTGCCCCGACCACTGAGAGATGGGGCAGGGCTCACATGCGCCACAGAACACACATGGAGATTGAAGGAGAGCTTCCTGGAGCTGGTTCTCCGTCCCCCATTCCCTGGACTTTAGGACTCAGACTCAGGTCTGCTAAGCCATCTCACCTCACCAGCTTGGTTATCTTCATGTATGTATTATTTTATGATTTGGATAAAGACCAGAAGAAAAAAAAAACTAGTGAGGCTTGGCTTTTACCCATAGATTTTGAGGGACATGATAGGTCACCAAGAGGATCCTTAGTTCCTATAGGACTCATGTCATTAGGCCTGGTTATGAATGGGATCAAAACCTCGTGATCCAAATGGCCATGCTACTTAGGTATTTTTGGCAGTTATCTAAATTATGTCAGTGTGTTTCTTTTTGGCTTTTTTTTCTCCAATATGGAGTCCTCCTTTAGACTTTAAGGGCAAAGGTCTGTTGGGCATAAGTATCAATAGAGCTAATGAGTTATTCAGGTATGTGTTTTGTTCATCATTTCTCCCTCCCAAGAACAGAGTGTGGCTCTTGTCCTTTAAGATTCAGACCCACATTGTAGTGAAGGACTTTGGCCTCTGCCGGTGTCTGTAGACATGGAAGCCAGTATAGCCGAACAAAAGCTCAAATGGCCGACGAGGTCGGAGAAATAGTGACCACACATTGAACCTTCAGGCCATCTGAGAGTCTAAAGAAACTGGTGAATGTTCCAATGAGTTGGTTTTGTTTTTTGTATTTTGTATTTATTACTCTGTGTGAGTGTGGAGGCCAGAGAACAGCCTGCAGGAGTTGCTTCTCTCTCTATCATGTGGGACCTGGGAATTGAGTCCAGGCTACCGGGCTTGGCTATAAGCACCTTTCCTCACTAAACTGTCTTGCCTGTGTCACGGTTTCTCGTCTTAAAGGTCACTCTGGATGTATTATGGACGAGTATAGGAGCACAGGATTGAGGGAGAAATGATGGGCGGCTGTCTGTCTATCGTCATGGAGTGAGGGCAAATGACAGTGGCCGCGGTGAATGGTGACTGTGGAAATGCGAGACGAAGCTGGGCGTGGACTGAAGAGGCTGAGACATGAGGTTACTCACAAGTTTGAGGCCAGCCTGAGATACATAGTGAGACCTTACCTCACCACTGTCACCCTAAAACTCACCCCCAAAGTAGATCTATTCAGTACACATTTTGGACATTCTACCTTCCTTCACCTCTACCACCCCACTCAAAAAAAAAGGAGAGCGAGAGAAAGAAATTGCACACCTGCTGCTAGATTGGACACTGGCAGAGGAAATGTGGACACCAAGGTTGGGAGAAAGCAGATGCAGGAGGAACCGTGAAGAGCTCGCTTTAGACACCAGGCTTGAGGTGCCTGTTTTCTTATGAGCTTAGATGTCTCTGCTCTACCAGGCATGTTATGCTTAGAACGATTAGAGCAGAAGGTAAAGTTGTTAAAATGAATATAAGATGCCACAGGAGACTTGTACTTGTTCATATGGATTTAGTGAGACAAAGCCCTTGTAGCCAGGCTGGCCTGGAACTTCCAGTGCTCCTGCTGCCACAGTAGGACTGTGGGTGTGCGGCAAAGAGTTTTCAGTATATTAACTTGGTGTCCTAATGCCGTTCCTTTTGCTGTAGTAAAATGCTCCAGTCAAAGCAATCTTAAGGGAGAAGGTGTTTGTTTGGCTTACACTTCCAGCGTCTAGTCTGCCATAGTGAGGAAGTCAAGGCAAGATACTTAACCAGCATTTTGTTTTGTTTCCAGGACTTAGAAAACTACATACTGGAACTTATTCCTACTTTGCCACAATTAGATGGGCTAGAAAAATCCTTTTACTCCTTTTATGTCTGTACAGCAGTTAGGAAGTTCTTCTTCTTTTTGGACCCTCTAAGAACAGGTAAAAAAAAAAATATGTAATTTAAATATTAGAATGTTTTTTATTGCATACTGTCTCAGTATTGGAGAAGTTTATCATTTCCCTTTGTTTTCTAATGTCAGCAACGTAATCTGACAAATTTCAGAAGAATTACAAGTGTACATGACAGCCACAATGCTTTGCTTTCTGTATAGATCTTCCAGAATATTCTTGCACTGACTGTATCCAGCTATGCGATGGTTGGATGTCACCTACTGCCTCTGCCTGCAGAGTGGTCGGGATTATAGGAGTGTCACCACACCTGACAAAGGGAAAGCTGGGAAGAGGGACTTTGGTGACATTGGTGGCAGAGGTGCTTGCTAGAAACGATCTTCTAGAAGTAGGACCCTTAGCCTTCAACCACAGAGCTGTCTCTCAGCCTTACCAGTATTGCTCCTATTCCCAAAATATGACATATCCTTTTGCAAATCTGATAGCATACTTTTAGTAGGCATTTACTGCTTAGTTTCTTCTAGTTGGAGGCAGGAGGCCAGCGTGGTCTGCAGAACAAGTTCCAGGACAGCCATGGCTACACAAAGAAACGCTATCTCAAAAAACAAAATTAAAAAACAAAATGAATATATAGAAGTTTTGTGGGTTACCAGGGGTTTTTTTTTTAATGTTTTTGTTGTTTGGAATGTTTTTACTTTGCTTTGCTTGTGTGTGTGTGTGTGTTTTTCATTGTTTCAACTTTGTAACAAAATAATAAGGAACCTAAGAGCTAGATGTTTATCATTGACTACATGATTGTCTTTGTAAAATAACACCTTTAAAAAATAACTTCTCAAAATGAAATTGTGTTTTCTTATATTTTTTAAAGGGAAGATCAAAATTCAAGATATTTTAGCATGCAGCTTCCTAGATGATTTACTGGAGGTAAGTATTTATTAAGCTATTTAATTTTGTCACACAATAATTGCTATTTTGTAATCATATTTCTGTGTTTCTTTAGCTAAGGGATGAAGAATTGTCCAAAGAGTGTCAAGAAACAAATTGGTTTTCTGCTCCTTCCGCCCTGAGGGTCTATGGTAGGATCCCATTACTAAAGTTCATTACCCATTTCTCATGGTGTCCACAGGCCTGTTTTATACACAGGCTATTTATTTAAGCCCACAGTATTCTCCCCACTTAAGGGTTGGTACTCTAGATTACCAAGATGTACTTCTTACTTTATTTCTGGAACTCTTCCATAGTTGGTATGGTTTGTTTGCAGTAGAATAATATAATTTGATTTATTTTCATTGGCTCAGGACAATAGCTGTTGTTTTATTCAATGATAAAATGCTGTGTCAGGATGCACAAAGGGGGGGTGTTTGGGAGTGATTTGGATTTATTGAACTTCATCAGTGTTCTCCAGCATCGTTTTGGATGGTCTCCTGACTCACTTAGGATCCATTACCTCTGACTTAGAATCTATTATCTCCGACTTAAGCTGAAAGTGTTTTGTATGTGAGTGTGCGTGTTTCCTGTGGACCCCTCCCCCACCAAGTTTAGAAACCTATGAATGTTCTAACTGTCCAAACTATAAACAAAAATGTAAGTGAAATAGTCAGAGAGCACAGACTGTATTGTGGGCATTTCTGTGTGGATCTAGCTGGGTAGTTGCTCTAATCAAGGTCTGACGGTCACCAACTATTACCTCTAAGCCACTACCTTTTCCACCTGTGTATTTAGTTTCACTTCGGAGTCAAACTATTAGGTAATAAAATAACATTTCTGTTCATGTCCAGCCTTGGTCATTAATTAAAAAATATTTTGGTCCTGAGTCTGTTCCTATTATCTTTTTCCAAGGTCAGTATTTGAATCTTGATAAAGATCACAATGGCATGCTCAGTAAAGAAGAACTCTCCCGTTATGGAACAGCAACCATGACCAATGTCTTCTTAGACCGTGTTTTCCAGGAGTGTCTCACCTACGATGGAGAAATGGTATTGAAATCTGCTGTTTAATTTCAAAAATCTAGGCACCTACAGTTTAATGGCTATTTTCTTGATGAAAATCATAGTTTTTTATTTGCCTGTCTCAGGGAGAGCACACTGGCACTGAGCTTGATTTGTAGCAAGAATGATCTTGAACTCTTGATCCTCCCGTCTATCCATCCCGAGTGGCAGGACTATAGGAATGTGCCGGCATGCCTTGCTTCCTTCAGCTTTATTACTACCAGTGTGCAACCGGCTCTTAAAATTATTATCACTGATTAATAACAGAATCTTAAATGTCAGTGGAATTACTTGTCATGCTGAGTCTGTTCTTAAGGGAATTCGATTAAAATACTTCCAGGCTTAGAACACATAGAAAAATTAAGTATTTTCCTCATTTCATGGTCAGTATACCTAAGGTATAGAAGTGTGAACTAGTAAAGAGAAAGATCTGAACATTCAGTAAAACCTGTAAAACATTTTTCCCCCCAGACAGGGTTTCTCTGTGAAACCCTGGCTGGCCTGGAACTCACTCTGTAGACCTGACTGGCCTGGAACACACAGATCCACCTGCCTCTGCCTCCTGAGTGTGGGGATTAGAAATGTGTGCCACCACCGCCCGGCTGTAAACCATTTCTATATAAATAGTTCAGTCATTAAATTACCAGGCCTGACATAGACCTTGTACGTTCTGATTTAAATCAGGCCCATTGTCTTAATCATTTGAGAGAGAGATCCCTCTGTTGCAAAGCTGGCTGGAACTTCCTGTGTCGGCTCCATCTGTGAAGCCATTGCCAGCTAAATCACAGCACACTGGATTACTGTGTCTGCATTAGTAGCCGAGGATAACTAGCGTGCAGTTGTCCCTTCCCCTCTCAAAATACATGGAAGTAGAGCAACACTTCATTTTAGAACTTAGATCTTACACAGATTATAAAGGTCTTATAGAGGTGCTGCGGGAGCGCCTTCTGCTCCGTCAGCCAATAACCGCTGAAATATCAGCCCACTGGGGCGTGGTATATTTCTCTTTTAAAAAGAGCGGCAAGCCTCGGCTCGGCTCGGTTCCCGCACTTGATTCCGGCTCTTGATTCCGGCTCCTGCTCCAGCAACTATTGACTGAAGGAGTGGAAGGTACTCCCGCAGCATCGCAGAAGGTACTCCCGCAGCATAGAGGGGTAGAGATTTTGTTAAATATTCTCTTTGATGTTTTCAAAACACATGAGAAATAAAATTCTTTTTTAGTGGATGGTGGGAGACCTATGTAGCTCTGGCTGGCCTTTAACTCACTATGTAGACCAGTCTAGCCTCAAATGTGCCTCTGCCTCCCTGGTGCTGATTAAAGGCATATATCACCATGCCTAACAAGAAAGCTTAAAAAAAAAAAGTGACACTTGACACTCAACAGAGATCTACCTGCCTCTGCCCTCTGAGTGCTGAGATTGAAGAGTCAGACCACCACACCAAGCTTTGATAAGAAAAATCCTAAAGAGCACTTTTAAAAAATCAGTATTCTTGCTATTAAAAACATGTGGAAGCCAACCATGGTGGTACAAGCCTGTAATTCCAGCACTTGAAAGATAGAGGCAGAAGGATCAAGAGTTTAAGATCAGCCTGGGCTATACAAAACCCTGTTTTAAAAAACGAACAACAAAAGGCCAGAGAATAAAAATGTCAGAGGGACTAGGAAAGGTGATGCACACCTGTAACCCCAGAACTCAGGGAAATGAGGCAGGAGGATTTTGTTTAAAGTCAGCATGGATTAGAGTATAGAGCATCCATCGCTTCTCAACCTGTGGGTCATAACCCCTAGAGACCACCCAGAACCACAAATATTTACAGTATGATCATACAGTAGCAAAATTATAGTTATGAAGTAGCAACGAAAATAATTTTATGGTTGGGGTCACCACAACATGAGAAGCTGTATCAAAGGGTCACAGCTTTAGGAACGTTGAGAATCACTGGTATAGAACATCTCAAAACAAATAGAGAAACACAGTAAGGATTTAATTTTCCAAACCAAGGCTGCTAAAGAAATAATGGTACAGATGAGAGCACTCTTACACTGTAGTAGGCCAGTGTGGTACAGATGAGAGCGCTCTTACACTGTGGTAGGCCAGTGTGATGCAAGCAGGCTGACAGGCAGCACCACTCTCCAACAGCAAAGGAAAACTGACTCCACAGCTCTTGACATAGACTTGGAGGGTTGGCATAAACTGATACCTTCTGGTGAATAACAGAGTCAGAGGCAGATGGAGTCAGGCCGTGATGAAGCTCCATCTCCTTAACTCACTTTTGCTTTTTGTTTTCTGAGACAGGGTTTCTCTGTGTAGTCCTTGCTTTCCTGGAACTTGCTCTGTACACTAGGCTGATGACCAGCCTGGTCTACAAGAGCTGGTTCCAGAACAGGCTCCAAAGCTACAGAGAAACCATCTCAAAAAAAAAAACCAACCTCAGAGATTCGCCTGCCTCTGCCTCCTGAGTGCTGGACTTAAAGCGTGCACCACCACTGCCCAGTACAAAGAATATTTTTAGTCATATTCTATAAAATCTTTTCTAAGAATGTGAACTTCTTTTCCAAGTGAGTATTCTTTTTATCATATTAGACAAGTATTCTGCCAGGCGTGGTGGCTCACATCAGTAACACAGCACTCAGGAGGCTGAGACAGAAGCTCCTTGAGTTTGAAGCTAGCCTGAGCCGCATAGTGAATTCCACGAAAGCCCGGGGTGAGACTGTTTCAACTACAAACAAAGAACTTCAAGATGCAGGCATTCTGTTCTGTTCATGTCTTTAGCTTCCATTCATATTTTTAAATTTTTTTTTGTTTGTATATATGCAAGTTTACATTCCTGTGTATTAAGTCTGCAACTTCGAGTATCATCCTTAGGAATGCCGACACAGGATCTCTGGTTGACCTGGAGGCACTAATTACGTTAGATTGGCTGGCCACCACACCCTTAGGATGCTGGTCTTCCCTTAGCCAGCATCAGGGCTACAAGAGCACGCCACCATCCCAGGCATCTTTACTTGGGGCTCGAGAGAGAACTCGGGTTCTCATGCTTGTGGGGCTAGCACGTTACCACTGACCCAGCCTCCTCGTTCTATTGGAAATCATCTGATTCCTTTTTTCTTTTGTTTTGGAGAAACTTGCAGGCCCATGCTGGCTTCAGCACAGATCCTCCTCTTCAGCTTTCAGGGTTCTGAGTTGCAGGCATGCCACCAAGCTCAGACCTGCTGTAGACTAGTTCCAGAATCCATTTCGGGTATCAGCCTCCATAGGTGCTACACGTACTGGCTCCGGTGGACTGCATCATCTCTAGGTCACCTGTAATTCCTAACACAGTATAAATGCTATGCAGCTGTGCTGTGTTGTTTGAGTACTAATGGCAGGAAACGTCTATGTTAGGTGCAAATCAAAACTTTTACGCAAATATTTTCAGCCCAAGGGTAATTGAATCCATAGAAATGGAACTCACAGACATGATGAGTGGGTTCTGAATAGTAATTTAAATAGACTGGTGTTCATTCTAGAGACAATAAATTCTTCAAAGAAACTATACCAAAATGAAGACATAAATTTAATGGCAGCATAAAATAACTTAATCACTGTCTTGACAATTTTATAGTATGGAAGAAAATTATATTTTAAGCAAATCTCGCAAAGAAAATGAGCTGGTTCTCAGAACTGTCCTAGATTAGCGCCTCTGTGGAATTCCTCAAAACCAACGCTAAGTGCACAAGTGGATTTATTTCCTATTTTAAAAAAGTTAAATTTGCCATCTGTGATTGCAAACTACTTCACCTTGGCAGATACTCATCTAAGATTCCACTGCAGACTCTGAATGTTTCCCCTTCTGTAGGACTATAAGACCTACCTGGACTTTGTTCTCGCCTTGGAAAACAGAAAGGAGCCTGCAGCTCTGCAGTACATGTTCAAACTGCTGGACATTGAGAACAAGGGCTATCTGAACGTCTTTTCCCTGAACTATTTCTTTAGGGTGAGTATGGTGGGTAAGGAGCTTTGTTACCCTAAGATACAGTAAACTCTCTGGTTTATTTATTGACAGTTTTACCTAACTTGATTTTAAATTGAAAATGATTACTATAATAGATTTAAACTGGAAATCAAGTATGTTTTGTTCCTTCTATTTTTAGGAAATATATAATGGGAAAGTAAAGCTTTTTCAGTATTCTCTTCTGGAAACAAACATGAGGGGCTCAACCAGCTTTTGGAAATAGCAACAGCAGCCTGCAGCCTTAACCCTCCTTCCTGAGCCCAGGTTCCCAGTAGCTGCAGTGTAAGCGTAGGAAGCCCGTGATTATGGTCCTCCAGTTGTAGACTGGACTGCAGTGCTCGGGGAGATGGCGAAGCTCAGGCTTACAGTGTGGACAGGAACTGGGGCGAGGAGGGGCTGGGAATCAGGGACTTAACTTTTTATTTAGATTTATTTCCATTAAATACAGGCCATACAAGAACTAATGAAAATCCATGGCCAGGATCCTGTTTCATTTCAAGATGTCAAGGTTAGTCTTTTACGTACTTACATAAAAACAGATAATATAACCATGATAATAATAATGTTATATCCAATTTTATATGAAAGTAATTTGTGAACTATGAAACACTATTCCAGATCAGATTTTTGCTGTTACTTGTTCAGAACTGTTCTGCTGTTACTTGTTCTCCATCATCAGAAATGGAGACAAATTTGGATTTTCTGATTAATATAGTTGATTTCACTATCAGCCTTGTGTTCTCATGTACATACTCATTTTATTTGAAAAGTGTCAGTTAGCATGCATCCTTTAGCAGTCCTTTTCGTTGTAAACTAAACATTCAACTGAAGGACTGTTTAGGTTCAAGCCCTGTTTTAGTATGCTGTCTCAAAGAGCCTGCATGCTTTGATCTATTAGATTTAAAGAAACATCCATTTTTCAGTATGAAAACTGTCATTCCTCGGGGCTGGAAAGATGGCAGAGCGGGCGACAGCACCAGAGGCCTACGCTTTACCCCAGCACTCGTGCGGGGTGCGGCTGGGCAGCTCTCAGCCATCTGTAACTCAGCTCGGGGATCCAGTGCCCTCCTGAGCTTTGTAGGTCCTGGCACACACGTAGCATTCACACACACAAATATATAAAAACAGATCTAGAAAACATCATTTTTTGAAACACATGATGCTACTTGGTATTTAGTTGGCAGCTTCACCAGTTAGGAAGAAACATCCAGTGGATCTTTTTGGTTTTAGTTGAGTATCATAATAAAATACCCCAACCAGTTTTAACCAGGAATAAGCCTGAAGCACTTTTCTGATACAATACAAATGAAGGAAATTACAAACTTTGTAACGTGAGTTTAAGAACCAGCAACCTAATCGTCAACCAATCTGGGAAAACTGCAGTTGAAAAGTTATATTTTATGAACTCGAGTTACTCTATAAATTTGTTAAAAATGTAACTGCTTATAATGCTAGCTACTAAATAATCTTTGAGTGATTTTACCATACAGGATTAGAAAATGCTGGGCGGTAGTGGTACATTCCTTTAATCCCAGCACTTGGGAGGCAAAGGTAGATCTCTGTGAGTTCGAGGTCAGCCTGATCTACAAAACAAATTTCAGAACCCATGGGTGTTAACACAGAGAAACCCTGTTTGGACAAAAAAAAAAAATTAGAAAACACAGGTTACTGCCTTGAATATTTATCCCGTACACTTCATAACATAGAAGAGGTTCTTCCATGAGTTCTAGTTCTAGTTGAATCTTGGCACAGTTTTGTTATTCTGTGTGACTAACTCTTTAATGTGGAGTTCTGGCCCTCCCATAGTGGGATTGGAGTAGAAGGCGCTGTTATTATGGGAAGTGACGTCTTCTCACTATCTCTGAACCACTTGAATTTTTAATATTTAGCTGAGCTCTTAAGAGGTGTGACAGTGTGGCTTTGCGGCAGAGCGCTCGCCTGACTGGAGACAGCTTGGGTTGATTCCCAGCACTGGGAATGAAGAAGGTTCTGCTCAGACATTTCCCCAGCATTAGAAGGCAATAAAAAGTGTGACAGTTGCAGCCAAAGAATACTGCATTGGACAGCTCTGCCATTAGTTAGCTATGAACTTGGATTAAACTCTGAGCCTGTTTTCTTCCTCTATAAAATGAGAGATGATTATCATACAGCTAAGGAATCGCCCAAGAAAAGTGTGGCTAAGGAGATTTCTATCAGGTGGAAAAGAAAAAACTAGAATAAAAATTGGACAGTAGTTCAAATGTCCACCCTGAATTTTCCATCATTGTATGACAGAAGTCACTTCAACCAGCTTGTATTATTATCTTTTCTCCTACAGGATGAAATCTTCGACATGGTAAAACCAAAGGATCCTTTGAAAATCTCGCTTCAAGATCTAATCAACAGTAATCAAGGAGACACAGTCACCACCATCTTAATCGATCTGAATGGCTTCTGGACTTATGAGAACAGAGAAGCCCTTGTTGCTAATGACAATGAGAACTCTGCAGACCTCGATGACACATGACCTCTGAAAGACCACACTGCCTTCATAAAGACGCTTGAAGGCTGCATGCAGACCCTCTGGGGCAAAATCCTTAGAAACATTCTAAATAAAACTCATCACATGCCTGTAAACACAGCAAATGTTGCTTACTAGAGTTTTGGTTGCAACTGGAACAATTTCAAAGTAATAGGACCAGCTACTATTTTTGTTTTTTTATGAAGTGGTAAGTTCTGGTTCCATTTGGCTCAGACACAAAGATTTGCTGTAGGTAGGTATTGAGTTTATGGACAATTTCTGGTATTGATGTAGGATTCCAATATTTGTTCCTCATGAATATCAAGGACTTTTTAATCAGAGTAGCCTACTACATTTCTGGATTCAAAAACTTTAAATGTGACTCTTTTTTTGGGGTGAAGGGACACATGGTCTCACTATGTAGCTCTGACTGGCCTGGAATTTGCTCTGTGGACTAGGTTGGCTTCATAAACAACCATCACCTCTTCCTCCCAAGTGCTGAGTTTAAAAATGAGTGCCACTATCCTTATTTTGCTTTTTTCTTTTTAAGATTGCATTTATTTACTGTGTGTGAACACCAGAGCACACATGGAGGTCAGTGGGCATTTCTCTCTCCCCCTACGTGGGTTCTGGAGCTCCAATTCAGGTTGCCAGGCTCACCAGCAAGCATTGTACCTACTGAGTCATCTTCCTGCCCAACTTCATTTTTGTTAAGATGGTATTTCAAGCCAGACAGTGGTGGTGCGTGCCTTTAATCCCAGCACTCGTGAGGCAGAGGCAAGTGGATCTCTGTGAGTTCTAAGCCAAGTCTGGTCTACAAGAGCTAGTTCCAGGACAAGCTCCAAAGCTACAAAGAAACTCTGTCTCGAAAAACCAGAAAAAAAAGAAAAAAAAAAAAGATGGTGTTTCCAAAAAAAAAATTCAAGCAAATGTTTTCATTAAAATCACAAGTTTGAAAGTTTGTCTGTTTTATTAACCATTATCAAGTTACATTTACAAAACTGTACCTATTGTTAAAATGTTTTTGTTAGGGAATTTACTAATTGATTATACTAACTCATGTTTTATGGGGTTTTTGGTTGTTCTTTGTTGCTGAAATGTAAGGATCTCAGTCTGTAGTCTAGGCCAGTCTCCAGCTCATGATCCTGCCTCAGCCTCCGAGCTCTGGGAGTGCAGCCACCACACCTGATTGTGTTCAGTTTTTATAAAAAGAGAGCTCAGAGGAAAGTCGAACGTCATGGACTGTGATCCAGAGGGGAAAACAATTCTACAAAGGACTGGAAAGTAGGAAAAGGAGAGAGGCTTAAAATAAAACCAACCATTTAACCCATTTGTAATAAACTTTATAGTTTGCATAAACCAAAGTATAAAAACGTAAGGCACAGTGAATAACTCCAAACATCACAAACCAGCTGCTGCCCAACAAGCAGCAAAAGTAAACTGAGGAACCCGGAGCCTTGGCAGGTGGGCCCGCTGCTGTAATCACCAGCTATGGTGTAAGCTGAGAACTAGCGCTTCAGGAAAGATGCTCTCGTGGGTCGCCTTGCATCACCCGCCTTCACCTCAGGACCAGGTGTCTGAGGTGACACCGCACCAAGAGGAAGACGTCAGGCCAGCATGTCTGAGCAACTTAAGACTGGGTTTTAGTAAAGTGTAACTGATAGCGGCTTTAGTTACACAATCTAAGGATAAACCTCTAAGGACTAAGTCACCCTTGAAGGGAGTTCACCAGTCACAACTCCAAGGAAGACTCCATACTTGCTGAGCTGTACAAATTTCGGTCCAACTGAAACTTTGACTCAAACTTTGAATATCCAGTTAGAAAAAAATCCGACTTTCAGGTGAGCCTACTGAGAGCCCACTGGCAGGTCTCTACAGCGTGCTCCCCTGTCCACATTTGGATTGCGCACATCGAAGACAGAAAGCATCCGGCTATTTGGAAGGCTAGTTTATAAGAGGTAATTTCTAAAGGCTGTGATCAGCAACTAGAACATTGTCCACTTTCTCTTTATCCACATTTGGTTATAAATCAAAGTTAAACAGATAAAAGGTTCTAAACATATGTAGGAATATTTCTTAAATTACACTCATATTACACAACTCTGTAAAGGATAACCTAGTAAGGAGAGAGAGGGCTGAACCTGGTTCACATCAACTGTCCAGCTCACTGCTATGACTTCAAAATGGTAAACAAGACCAACCTGGTACCAATTCCACATCTCCCCGCTACCCTGCCTGTGGTGCAGAAAGGGCTGAGTAAGTCTGATATACCCAAGGTGCCAGCCATGGGGCAGTCGCTGGGGACCAACGCCAGACTACAACTCCAAATTCAGTGACCAGTGTTAATCTGTGATCAGAGCAAGCTACTAACTACTGAAAATTCGAGAGTGGCGTGTAGTGAAAATGAGAACCATCTTAATCTTCAATACATTCAGCATTTTTCCATAAATACTCTCAACAAAGCCAGGTGGTGCTTGAGCAGAGGCAGGGAGATCTGTGAGTTAGAGGCCAGCCTGGTCTACAGAGCTGGGACAGTCAGGGCTACACAGAGGAACCCTGTCTCAAAAGAAAAAAAAATCTCAACAAAAAGGAATCCACAGTGCTTCCATCTTGCTGCTTTTATTACACATTGAACTATCCTTGGTGTGAAAGTGATGATTAGGTGTGTTACATGCACGGAAGGCAAGGCATGAAATGCAGGGAACTTTACTCTTGGACTGTTAGGATTGATTATTATTAGCTCCAAAGATGAGTTATCAATACTTACCTTTTTTAAAAAAAAATGCCCCACAACAAAAACCTTAATAAACAATTTAACTCCCTTTTTAATGCACAATGCCTTCAGTTTCTGGTTTTGTTTTGTTTTATTTTGTTTTTTGAGACAGAATCTCACTGGCGAGGCTAGAGCTCACTATGTTGACCAGGTAGGCTTTGAACTCACACACAGAACCACAGGCCTCCCTAGTTATAGGATTAAAGGTGTGTGTTATCACGCCTAGCTAAATGTCCTTTTGTTTTATAAAAGATCATTTTAAAATCAAAGTGCTGGGCTTAGTGACAGAGCACTTGTTAGTGTATGTGAAAGAAGCCCTGGGTTTACTCCCTAGCACAGGGCCTGCGGGGGTGGGGCGATCCCTAATTTACCATAATAAAAACATCCCAACTTCAGATCTGACTGTGATAGATAGAGCATAAAAATGAAGAAAGATTTTCCCTTAATAATTTAAAATATAAATAGTTGTTTTCAGTCCCACTAAACAAAATGTAAAAAGTTCCTGATTGACGTTTAGGGTGTAACACTTAATATATGTCATTTCGTCCTAAGGTGGGACAGAGGTTGGCTGTTGTTTCCGTTCCGTAATTACTTCACAATCTTCCTCCATCTCAAAGTTGACGTTCACAAATGAGCTGGACACCACTGTTTCTGGCTGATCTGTCTGTACGATGGAGTCGGCCTGCATTTTGTTTTGCTGGAATTGTCTTTCTACTTCTTCAGACATCCTATTTTCCTCTTCTTCCTCCTCCTCCTAAAAAATGGGAAATGTCAGTAGTTACGATTCTAATGCCCAAAAGGCATTACATACATATGTCTTCTCTCAATAGCATCTTTTTCTTCAAAAGCCAAATTTAGTGTCTAAGACAAACTTCTGGGGTTGGGGTGTAGCTCAATGGTAAAGTGCATGCTGGGGATTTAACACCACACACGGAGGGAGGGAGGGAGGGAGGGAGGGAGGGAGGGAGGGAGGGAAGGAGGGAGGAAGGACTATCACCACCAAAACAAACCTCTTTCCCTTTCTCAATTAGTTATTTTAAAAGGTGGACGGCCCAGCACTACTTAGCTAAATTAACTTACCCAGTAAAGTAACAAATGAGCTACTGTGACACTTTAATTATACGGTGTCATCCTATTTAGTAACAGGTTGGGTCATTCATTAATGGTTAGTTTTTCTCTAAGCACTAATTAAGGTACAGATGATCCAGGTCCTACCCTCAAGACTTTGCAGTTAGAAAGGATGACACCAAAGCTGCACTACAGAGGCTACAGCGACACCTCTGGTTCAGAACTGTTGTATATGGGGGAGGGGACAGTCTCTGGACCCTGAGATACAAGTACAGAATGAGTAGCCTCTCAGGAGGATCATCCTGAGATAGGTCAGACTTTAGAAGCCTCTGAAGTTTTCAGTGTTTTTTTCTCTGTTTTTGTTAAGAACACGTTTGAAGCCACACAGTGGAGTAAAGGTGACCTCCAGGCACAGTCCTCCAAGGACAAAGCTGAATGAATAAAGGAACAAATGCGTGCAAATGCTGTGTCCACGCCTCTTCTGGCCTTCCCTGACCTGCTGCTCCATTCCCTTGAAGGCCAATAACACACTCTGGTTTACCGCGTGCTTCCCAGGGTACACTAGGGGCTCTTCGGAGCATTTTAGACACTAACCCTAAGAAGAGATGCAGTTCTCATGAAGACAGAGACTTGAAGCTTGGAGAACTCTGTAACTACCTCACTACTTACACAGGGTGGGTGGTATTTCTCCATTTTTAAAATGACAATACCAAAGGTATATAAAAAAGATGAAATTAATACACATGAGGCACCTCATTTATTAGCACTGGCAAATGAAACCTAGCACAGGTTTTATACATTTACCTTAGGAAATCCGAATTCAAAAATCTGTTAATAAACTAAAGAAGCTATATTCAGTGGCAGAGCCCTTGTCTGGCATGTGTAAAGTCCCATGTTTGATGTCTAGCAGCGCAAAAAAAACACAGGAGCCACTTTTTTGGCTCCAGAGTGACCACACACTCATTACGGAGCTCGTCAAGCCTTGGGCAAACCATCAATCAAGCAAGAAAAGGAGACACACCTCCTTCTTCATCCGGTAATACTCATCAATGGCATACTGGTATTTGGGGGTGCTGATGCCCAGAACGGATGCAATCTTCTCTCCAAGAAAGTCACACACTAAAGACGCAAAAATTAAGAGACATACAACACCATCAACATTCCTTGAGCATTTTATGTAGTACTAAGTACAAGAGTTACTGTTTTATCCTTAAACCTGACAGATTTATCACCCTATCTCCTCACTTCCGTCCTGGACACCCGGCCTGTTCACATTCCT